ATAATCGATTGTCCAAGTAGGATAGTCGATTGTTAAGGGCTTCAGGTTCTTGGGCAGTTTTCTGGGGATGTTCTGGGATGGGGGATAATCGATTTACAGAAGATGTGAATCGATTATTGAGAAGTGCAGGTTTTTTTGGGAAAGGCTGATAATCGATTGTCTGAAAGTGATAACCGACTATTGAAGGCTGCAGATGTTTCACGAGGGATAGATAATCGATTTCCAGTAGCAATAATCGATTATTTGACAGTTATCTGGGCAGGAAGAAGGGTGTTTTTGTGGGGGAATGGACTGGAAATATATGGAGTTGATGATGGAGTTTTTTTGGGTATTTTAATGGAAGAAAAGAGTGATATTAAGAGGAGAAATGGGGAGGTATGAAATGGAAGAAAATCAGGGATGGATAAACCAAGTTGGTGTTTAAGAGATATTACACACTCTTATACTAACTTGGGGTTTGAATCTAGAATTTAATTAAGATATGACACACTTAATCAAATATCTAGAACCTAAAACTCACACTTAAGATAACCACTCTTAAGATATAGAATTAGGAATTTTGCTAAAATAGCATCACACTATTTTATAAATACTCAAAGAGTAAAAGGGAGTTTTAATATTCAGAGATGTGTTTACAATGGCCATAGGGCCTGATTATATAGGGAGAGGGGAAGGGGGAAATACATAGTACAAAACATGAGGAAACTTCCTAGCAACATCCACCTCCAAATATGGGGTATCCTTTCTTCAATCCTGTCTCCTGGGTGGTCTTAAAAATCAGAGATGAGGCTGGGTTTGTGGGGGTTGTGAGCTTTGGTTCCTTGTGGTTGTTTCCTGGGTTTTTTGTGGCTATTATTTGGGTAAAATGGGGGGATGTTTTGGCCAATAAAAGGGGACAGGGCTGGGTATTATTTATGGGTGTTTTGGAGTTATGGCTTTGGGTTATTGTGAGGGAAACATGGGCAGGAATTAGGGGCTGGAGGTGGGTCATGGTTTTGGCTCTTTGTGGGTGTTTATGTTGGGATTGTGAAGTGTATTTTGGCCAGGGGGTGAATGGAATAAAGAGAGGGTTTTATTGGTTTATTAAAAGGCTTAAAAGAAGGAAAATAACAACAAACAAAAAGGCTTTGGTTTACACACTCTTATTTTCGGCCAGGGCTAAAATAAGAGTAGGAAAAACTTTATTTTGAAATGAAGTAAATGGCAAGGAGTTTTGGATATTTTGGGTTGGACGGAGTGGGAGTTGGCCTGTGGAAACCTTAGGTCCGAAGCTATTCTGGCCTTTTGGGTTGAAGGACATAGAATTCTCACTAAAACGGATCATAATGCTTGAACTTAAGTCCTTTGGTTTTTGCGAGGGTGTAGGACATGGGGGAGGGTATGATAGGGCCAGGCCCGGATATAACAGGAGCAGCCGTCTGGTTACAAGGATGCTACGCATCCTGACTATGTGTGCAAATTACGCAAGGCGCTTTATGGCCTCAAGCAGGCACCCCGTGCTTGGTATTTGGAGTTGGCTGCGTTTTGGGAGGCCTCTAGTTTTTGCAAGTCTCAAGCAGATGCTTCCCTCTTCATCTACTCTTCTTGTATTGTTCGCCTATATTTTCTTGTCTATGTGGATGACATCATTGTTACCGGTAATCATGCTCCTTCCTTGGATGCCTTTGTGGCTAAGCTTTCCTGTGGGTTCTCTCTTAAGGACCTTGGTCCCCTGCATCATTTTCTCGGGGTGGAGGTAATTCCGGTCACCGGGGGTCTTTTTCTATCTCAACGCAGCTCTATGCATGGTATTCTACAAGATCACAGCATGGCTACCGCAAATCCAGTAGCCACACCTCTCTCCTCTTCAGTTTCACTGCGGCTTGATGATGGTTCGGCTGCCGTTAATCCTATTGCATGCCTTCCGCCGGTTACTTGGCTCGCTTCAATATTTGGCACTCACTCGTTCGGATGAGTGTTTTGCGGTAAACAAATTGTCTCAGTTCATGCATGCACCTACTCTTACTCACTGGACGGCGGCTAAGCGTGTTCTTTGTTATCTTTGTGGTACTCTCTCTCATGGTTTGTATCTTCGTGCTAATGTCCCACTTTGTCTTAGTGTGTTTTCTGATTCGGATTGGGGTGGTCTTTATGATGGAGGAAAATCTACTACTGCCTATGTGATTTATCTTGGTTCCAATCTTATTTCCTGGAAATCTACACGTCAAAAGACCGTCGCTCGCTCCTCTACGGAGGCTGAATATCGTTCTCTTGCTCATGCTACCGCAGAGACGCTTTGGATCAAGAACTTGTTGTGTGAACTTGGGGTCTCTCTACGATGTGCTCCAACCCTTTATTGTGATAATCTTGGTGCTACCTATGTGTGTAAGAATCCGGTTTTTCATTCTCGCATGAAGCATTTGGCGCTTGTTTATTTCTTTGTTCGTGACCTCGTTGCGGCTAATCGCTTGCATGTTCGTCATATTTCTTCATCTGAGCAGCCTGCTGATATTTTGACGAAGCCTCTTGCGCGTCCCTTGTTTCACAAGTTTCATTCCAAGATTGGTGTTTCTGACGGCATGCCAATCTTGCGGGGGTGTATTAAGGATAAATAGTTATTATTGCTTATTCATAATTTTGTTTGTACTTATCTGTATGTTACCACCTACGTATTAACCGTATGTATTAGATTAGGTTGTTAGCTTGAGAATAGGATCATAAGTTGTGTTAAGCTATCCAGTAGCCTCCTCCTCTGTATAAATCCTTGTACAATGATTTTGGAATAATATGAGAAAATACATCTCTTATAGTTCCCGCCACTAGACATTATTCAAGTACTATTTAGGGAATAAAAACGTCTCGCCACTATCTTTCTAAAAAAGATTTTATAAACTTTATTAATCTTTTAAAAATGAAAGCTTGATGTGTCTTTAATAAACTATTCATTATTTTCCCTTTTATTATATCTTAAAATAAATATTTATAAAAATTTTAATACATGTACATCAATATTAAAACTAAAACTTTTTTCTCAAAGGATAAGTTTTATAGTTAGAAATTATTTAACAAACACATCATATATCATTATTAAAGAATTTAAAATAAATGATATTTTTTTTAGATGTCAAAATTTAGAATATATGTGAACCCGTGTGAAGCACGGGGTTAATACTAGTTTGACTTATATGGGGCATATACTTTGTCATATTTTTAATTTCTTTTGAGAAGTAATCCCAATTAATTAGAATAACTATTGTTTTTAATTACATTACCATGTTTAATTCAAGATTTTTACTCCGATTTGGAATCAATTTTTTCTTTTACTTGGCAGTTCATGTCTATTACTTCAACTCATGAATGCTCAATTGTTATCACATGTTATTTTGAACTACATAGAAGCCCGTTTCTTTGGATTGCAAATGAAATTTGTATGTTCGTGGGGGCAACGAAAATCACCAACAAAAAAAACTACACAAACAGATAAAACAAATAGACTATTCTAGAAGATGTTGTAGAACTGTCACGGAAATAGATTACAGGCAGAGTGTTATAACACCTTCTCTGTCACATGCACACACGCAAAATATAAAGTAAAGTTAGTAAACAATGCACAAGAATTGTTTACACAGTTCAGAGCAACTCTCCTACATTTGTCAACCCTTCCACTAAATCAGTGCAAATATTACACCTTCAACTTCAATAGATTTTGTCTACGAATCGACTCAATATTCTTACAAATGATTTGACGACAAAGTCTATTTGTGTCTAACTCCTTTGCTTGTAACACCTTCTTCAAGATCTTCTTCAAAGACGTGTTTGCAACCCTAGTTCTAGAATCAACTTCACGGAATCTGGATAACAGCTTATAGACTCCACTATAACTTTCACAAAAAATTCTTGCTTGTTCCCAAACTAGTTCTCAATTGATTGAGTCTCAGCACCTAGATGACTTCTTACTTCCGTGTATCTTCTCTGCTCTACTTCTCGTCCAAAAGAACTCCAAGGTGAAATTTATATGATCGGTAATAGTTTTAGGCACCAATTATGCTCCTTAATCTAACTCAATCCAATTAAGAGGCCATCTCACAATCATTCTGTGCACGTGGAGAAATATGGCAACGAATAAACTTCTCCCATTATAACTTTGTTAGATTTCAATCAGTAAGCGGTAAATTTTTTCTCTTTTTTCGGCTCATGAATGGTGAGAAGATGTAACACCCTAATCCGTCCAGGTCTGCAGCCCCTTTCGGACTAAAGTATTAACTTGGTAATCGTAAAATTTAAAACATTTCAAACACTTTTATTTCTCACAATAATATTTTCATATCATAAACAGTACATCGTTTTTAATATTGCGGAAGCTTAACAAATTATAACTACAAACATAATTTATTTATGTTCTTTAATTCAAAACCATCACATCCATTCCGACAATCTCGCCTCCGTCTGCCTCCAGAATCACGTCACATCATTCTTTCTATTAACCTGCGTGTAGCAAATAAAACATACTACACGCTCAGCGGTAAAGCTGAGTAAGCATATCTAACGCGTCGAACATCCATATAAATAGAAACTTAATTCATAATCAAATCATTTGATATCATGCACATAATGTCCAGTTCAGATATTCAATCATCAATAATCAATTCATTAATCAATCATTCAATATGTATATTCATCATATAATATTCATCATTCGTCATTCAACAATATCCTTAAACTATTCTTAGTCTAAGG